ATTGTAAAATTTAAACTCTCCCTCGGTGTATGTGTGCACAGTTACTCAAATACAATCACACTCTCTCAGACTCAATAAAAATGAAAAATAAAAAGTAAATTTATAATAAACCCTAAACTGATTTGATTTGAAGTCTTCAGCAATCCGGAGTATGAATTCCTTGAAATGTTAGTACACACAGACAATAAATAAATACATCAAAAATATGTTAGGAAAAATTATAATCAAACCAATAATTTTTAGAATCATCAAAAATATATATTTTGCAAGAATATAACCAATCAAAAACTAAATTGCAACAATCTCATAAAGTTTTTGATGCCACAATGTTGGTAATGATTTGATGCTAGTTGTGTTGCTGCCACAAAGCTTGAAAATAAAGAACTTGGTATTGCAATGTCTAATTTTTAGTGCCTTGGCAATATTAAAGGTGGTGTTGCAGTATGGTTTTGTTGGATGTCATGGGATTGTAGTCTTCTTAAAATTTCTACCATTTTTTTATTTTTCTGCAAGAAAATAACTAAAATTACATATTTTCACTGAAAATAAAATATATAAAATAGTTCATAATTTGCACTTATCATCTACAACAGTGTGCTTAGTTTATCGTTACCTAATTTATGCGTTATGTGATGCTGACGGATCCATAGGAAACCTAGGAGAGGAGCAGAACTTTCATGCATCTGCCCTTACTAGATCTAAGATCCAATCTTTAAATTTTCATTGTTTGACCAAGGAGAGTGATTTAACCAACCAACCAAACCTAACTAAAGACAGGGTAGATATTCTAGGATGTTAGGAGATTAGGTGGTAGACCTATGGGATATAGTAGATTAGATCCAACTTTTGTTAATAGATTTAGTCAGTAACTTTTAAGACTAGATAGGTGATGTATCAAATGTATGGCCATTTGATGCTCCATACCAAGATTATTATAGTGCAAACATGGTTAGCAAATTTATGAGCTGGGAGATGGACCCCCATGTTGAGAAAAATTATGAACCCCTTAATGTATTTTTGATAGAATAAAAGTGAAGGCAAAAGACAAGTATTCAAAACATTTATGAAGTATTTAACAAATGAAAAAGTTAAATTAAAAATAAAAAAGGCCATTATTGGACTATTAAAAATTGATAACAGTAATGTATAGACCCACTTAAACAAATAGTGGAAGTAATATATTGTTATTCAAAAAAATTATAAGGTACTTAGTTAATCCAACAGAAAATGAGAAAAAGGAAAAGGAAATTGAAAATACTAAATATTGGACTATTAAATATTGACACCCGTTATGTTTAGGCCCTTTTTTACACTTCTAAGATGAATTATTGGAATCATAATACCTAAAAATAATTATAGATTGATTAGTGAATTAACTAAAGATGTGAATTCCTTTAATTCCAAAAAACATTTACCCTAAGTTTGTGAAAATTATCACATACACTTAGGAGTTTAATTTAGAAGGAATATTAGCAAAAAAATGATAGAATGAGTTTTTATAAATTATTTTAATTGGAAAACTTTATGACTTCTCTTCTTTATAAATACTTAGATTATTAATTTTATAATTCCAAATACTATGTTCCAGTAAAAAAAAAAATTGTTTCAAGTGCAATATGAATTACTTGAGGACAAGTAATATATTGAAGTTTAAGGAATTTGATAAGAGTATATATATATATATATATATATATAAGGCCAATTAATTCCTTCTTTTTATACAGGAAAGAAGCAAAATATTCTAAAATTGAAGGAGCATCGGAACGCCGCAGCACCACATATAGAGCACCATAACACTACATTTACTCTATCGTCAGAGTTGCCAGTTCAATGATGTAGAGAAAGAGGACTGAAATTCATCCGAGTGTATGTCACCAAGGTGTTAAGTATGAAGCATTGTAGTATGTCACCAAGTGTATATCAGACTAAGAGTTGTATAACCAATTTGCCATAATGCCACGGTGGAAGACAATTACAGATAGTTAAACCTGCAAAATGATGTGATGAATGATGAATGAACATAATGGTTCAATAGTGCCTTAATAATACCAAAGGATTAAAGATAAATATATAGACTCTTGCATAAATTAATCTATTATACACAGTCTTGAGCCAATAATATTACACAAAAGCATATGAAAAAATAACAATTAGGAGAATCCAAATAAATAATAGTAATGTTTGTTATTATTGAAACATAAGCTAGCTCGGGCTCCTGGATTATAACAGATATTGTATGGCTATTCACAATTTAAAACTTAGTGCAATATATGACCTCGATGGAGGCATAATGGAGCAACTAGAAGAGCATAAACAAAATTCATAAAAGCAAAGATATATGACTTAGGATTTTGGGATCTCTAAAATATGTTTCATGTAGTGAGGTGTGATTAATTAAGGTTATTTATACATTTACTAAGATTCAAATGAGCTCAATGGAGATGTGTAATTATTTATGCTCCAGTTCATAACTAAAATTAATATATCCATTTACATCGCACATATTTACCAAATTAATTATAAATTCAGAATTTATTATAAATTGGAAAAATCTTAAAAAAAATGTTAAAATTACTTCTCATTAAAAATTACTTTTGATAAGATAAAGCTATTGGTTGAAAAAAAATTAGTATTTAGCTTATAAGATCAACTTGGAGGGAACAATATTTTTCTCAATCATTTTATTACTTGAACGGTAGGTGCATTTGTGAAATAGGATTTAGCCGGATCAATCAACAAACGACTCATGCACAAGAAACATTAATCGAAAAAACATCCATTTTGAGACATTTATCAGTGAAATTTTAAAAATTTATTCAAACAAATGATAAACTTGATAATTTTTTTATTTCTTAAATTACGATTTCAAACATCATTGCTTCCAAGTTTAAAAAAATTATTCAAACAAATGATAAACATAATAATTTTTTTATTTCTTAAATCACGATTTCAAACATCAAACAATCATACTAGTTCTTAGTGTTAATTTAATTTAATGCATCCACGATACTTTTATTTTCTAGTATTACTAGCAATATCTTATGAAGTAATAGGCCATACAAATTAAAAAGGGAATTAAAAAATAATTTTCATTTACTAAATAATATCTTAAAATGCATGAACATTATTGGTTATGCATGCAAAAGGCTTGTAAAGTAATTTCCATTTATTTTTAAGCATTTTGGGCATTTAGTCTAGCACAGCTATTTTTCATAGCCGTCATCGCACACGTCTCTTCACAGAGTAATATCCGACCTTGGCTCTTTGCACCATGGTAGGACCGTTCGTATGTACTCTAAGCTTCAACTTATCTATATCAGCTATGAAATGTGCAACCAGCAAAAGGTTTCGATCGCCGATGACTATCCCCTTGCATCATGCTCTCATCCTGTCATGTTTCCGTCATATAAGTGCTGGTTCTCCATTTCCACCCAAAATATCTTCAGAGTTATTTGGCATCTTATTTTAAGCAGAATTTAAGCTTGATTTTGCTTAAATTTTCTTGAGAGAAAATACTACGCTTAAATTCTATCAATTTTATTAATTTAACTTTTTTGAATTTAACTATTAAAATTTGATGATTTATTAAATCTCCGGATTTGAAAATTTTATAAGATTTAAAATCTTTTATCTTTTCTAAATATCAAATTTAGTAAAGATTTTAAATTTTCTTATTTTAATCAAGGTTTTCAAAACCGGACCGGACCGGCTCTACCAGTTCAACCGCGAACAGGTCTGACGGGCGGTCTGTTTGATCATAGAATCAGCTGTCTTCAAAACCGGCCAAAAAACTGCCGAACCGGGCGGCTTTTGAAGAACCAGAAAATTCACAAATCTCAGCCGTCCATCCACGATCGAACGCGAGTGTGGGGAAGTTTGATCGCTATTCTCGCTGCCCTAATCGTAAGCTGCGTATTCTATTTCGAGTATTCGTCTCTTCGACGCCTACACGACTCCTCCATCCACAAGCGAAGCCGAAGGAATCCTCCACCATCTCCGTTCATCCCAGCCGTCTTTCTCGCACTCCTCCGACCTCACAGCCGCCGGCGCTTGACTTTCCGTGAGAATCCAATTAGTCGTCGTCCAGCTCCAGGTAAGCCATAGATTTTGTTTTTTATATTTTTATTGCATTCATGTGTTTTCATTCAGTCGAACTAGGGCCTATGAACATTCCATTCGATTGGGAGTATACAGCTTGTGCTATCAAGAAGACAAGAAAGGGCGGATAGGATGTGGGAGATGATCGAGCTGTTCATGACAATTTCCTTTTCCACTTGTTTATCCCTTTGCTAGCCAAAATAGGAGAGAAATGAGAGACAGAGAGGAAGCAATCTGGAGAATACTTTTTGTGTGTGAGATTGGGAGTTGCGACCTAGGGTTCATAGGTTCTTCTCTTTTTGAACTAACTATTTACCGCTTTTCTACCTTCTGAGTTAAATGGTTGCTAGAGTTCTTATGTATTAAGCTAGATGATTTCCTCTACTAATTGTGTTAACCAGTTAGAATTATAAATTTTATGTTGGCTAGATACATGTTTGACTTTGGAAATAGTTTTGTGAGATGTAGGTTAGACTTTTTTTCTAATATGCTTAGAAGAAATATCTTTACTCATGTGCAAGTTGAGCTTGTTGAAACTTTACAAAAATTGTTGATCAAACATCACAAAATTGTTGATAAACCATCTTGCTCCGCAATCCTTTGTTTTTTGCAAGTTGAGCTTGTTGAAACTTTACCAATATTTATATTATTTGATTATTTAATATGAAAATGGAATGTAGAGTGAAATTATTAGAGGAAAATATCTCATTTATTTTATAAATTTTAATAATATTATTATTTATTACATCATCCGGTTCGGTCGAATCGTGAACCTCTCATTCTTTCAGTTCGTTGTCCGGTCCGATTTTCAAAACCTTGATTTTAATACTATGAAAATTTACTAAATTTTAATTTAAAGGGTTTATTAAATCCAACATGAATTCAATACTACTTATGGCCAACACAGTTTCCCAATACAGCACCTTCATCTTCCTTTAGATAATGTCGTCAACAATAGGAGGCATGATGTGGCAGGGATACCACCCGTGCTCAGTCTACACGAACGGAAATGGCGGCACAATCTCCATAGATCAACCGCTGATCATCCACGAGACCCGCACGCTTCCCGCGGTCGCCGTCGCCGAGTCGGCGTTTTTGCAACTCAATTTGGCTATCACTGCTCTTCGTGCCGATCCTCCGAGAACCAACTCCGGCATAATCCGGCTAGAGGTAAGTGATTAAATCAATTCAATCAAGACCATTTATTTAGCTGATATGTTTCTTCTTCTAGAAGCAGTTGTTAACCGCTAATTGGGGCTGCTTTGACCCTTCTAACAAGTTTGGCTAGCTAGAGCAAAATAATATGAATGGAAAATCAATGAGTATAGATAGCATATGAGAAACCAAGCAATCTTTGTGTTCAACAAAAATGTCAGGAAGTCCCAAATATTCCTCTTTACCTCTTATTTATAGGATTAATAGGGTTACAAAGAAGGCAATACCTAGAAACAATAGAGAAATAATATATGGTTTAACATATACAAATTGGCATAAACTCTTGGACTAGGCTGAAATGTATACACGTAGCCATTTGTCTCTGACGTGGCCTGAGATGCCTTTGATGAGTAGCCTGGGCTAGCACACTAGGCGAGTCCTTTGGGGAGAGTAACCTTGGAGTCAGGGGTGAGTGTCTTGAATGAGTCCTCGGGGGTGAGTGTCTTGGACGAGTCCTCTGGGTGATTGCCTTGGATTAGCCCTTTAGGGTTGTTCATCTTGGGCGAATTCATAAAAGCGAGTACCCTAAACAAGTGTCAAACCATTTGTGGCGAGCAATGTATCTTCTATGCAGATGTGGCTATGAGTTGAGGATGAATGTAGTTGGAAAATCTATAGCAATTGGCTCTATATGTGTGTGTCTTCTTTAGCTTAGGGTTATTTATGGGAAATAAATGGCCTTTTTGCTAGGGAGTACTGCTCGGGGAGCCAAGCCCTCCAATGTTCCATTTCTCTTTAGGTGAGGCTTGTTGAGGTGAGTTTTGTTGTTGAACTCGCTCGATACATATGCATTATTGGTTGAGTTCCATGTGGAGTAGCTGTGGCAATGCAAACTTTATTGGGGCAAATACCTATTGGTACCTGGCATTGCTTTGAAGGATGCTTCTCAAGGCGAGGCTCATTTTGGGAGAGTATGCCTCTTGACGGAGCTCCTCAGGGGAGATCCTATATGGCACTTGTGAGTTACTAATATGGTTATGTATGGGCATACATTAGTTTTTTTATTCACTTGCTCTTTTGGATAGCATTTGTGAAAATGACAAAGGAATTAGCAATGAAAACATTTAAAACCATAACCAAACGATAAAGAGAGAGTATAGTTTACTGCCCTACTTATAATATTAAATATAATAGGGTTTTTTTTTATTCACCATTTGTTTTTTCTCTATTCCTCAGCCTAATTAGTCTAAATAAAAAAGTTAAGGTGTCTTCTAAGGGAAAATTTGGATTCAACATCCTCTTAGAAGTGGTGAGCATGAAATAATAAATGTTGTGGTAGCAAGTTTTGAGCGGCCTCAAATGGGCGAGGTTAACTTGGCGACCATTTTAGTGAAAATTTCTTCAACGATGCAGTGGTGGTCACAACATTGATCATGAACTACTAAATCAACAGTTTTTTTGTTGATCAACAAGGGGAGCTTGGTTAATGTAATCCTTACAGCTATTTGTGAAAATTTTAATTTACTAGCTTGCTAGGTCACCCCCATTGTAAGTTCCCTTTATGGCTTATGAGGCGATTGAATGAGACTTAAGGATGATTGTTTTACCTATTACTTCTAAGGGTCAATGCTCTAGTCCGCTTGTTAGTTAGATTCTTGGTCATAATTTATATGACTTTGGCTTTCACTAGATAAAAATGTGCACGGCTGTATACTCATTAATGCCTTCATAGGTGTTTAATAGATGGTACTGAGACATGACAAGGATACTCACCCTAGAGAGGGATTCCTTTAGAGAACTCGGATGGGATTATCAGAGGGACTTGTTCTTGGAGATCCAACAGGCTCTAGTTGCTTGAGCCTACTATGGAACTCGCCTTTTACGGGATGAATCTAATATTCTTCATTAAATCACCACTTGTTTCTACCTCAATAATCACCACTCATCACTATCTCGATCATTTGCTCATCCCCCAGAACATTTAAGCTCACCAAGCTCAGCTATAGAAAGTGCCTATGTAGATAGTTCCTCACATCAGTCAACTATTACTGTCCAGCCTACAACTTGCCATTCCCGCTATGTCTCACTTGCCTTTCTCCTTAAGGCTATCCGAGATCTCTTGCACAAGTTGCAGATCACTCTCGACCTATCGTCAGGACTCACTCGCATACCTATTTGGAGCCTTCTTCTTATCACTAAGTTTGTCCAAGTGCCAGTAGACTTCATCCTCGTGCAGCCTATCATGAGGCGTCATATGTTTATATTAGTGTGTACAGTTGTACAAGTATTCTGTGTGGCTTGTAATTTTTTTTTTCTGTATGGCCTTTCATGTAGCCCTCATGACCCTATAAATAAAGTGGCCATGAAGAATAGTTAGGAGACCCCTAAAATTTCATTTTCAATAATAGTGGATATTCTATTTGTTCGAGACATGTAATTCTTTCTCTCCATCCTCTATGTACTTTCCATTCTTATATATAGGTTTCAACTCATCAGGTTGACGTGCTAGTAAAGTCGAGTATCTTCGGCAAATAAATTCGGATTAACATCCTCTTAGGTGTGATGAGCATTGAATTATGCTAATGACAAGAAGATTACCTAACTCGACGAGGAACTTCCATAAGAGCCCTTAGTAAACATGGATAACATCAAACATACTACCTGCCGTGACCTGCTAGTAAAGTTCACTATCTTTAATAGACAAATTCGAATTCAACACTAGTGATTCTGAGAATGTAGCCTTTATCACTATGGAGGAGCTCCTCTACTATATGGTAATGCCATTTGGCTTGAAGAATATACGAGCCATCTGGTAGTGCTTGAGGACCAATTCTTCAACGACAATAAATGGAGGAGCATTAAGGTGTATGTCAATTGATTGGGAAGAGTAAGTTGCTAGAGAAACACTTGTTGGATTTGAGGGAGATGATCATATAATATGCTGCTTAACCCTTTGAAGTATATTTTTTGTGCAGAATCAGATAGTTTCTTGGGGTCTCCACACGCTAGAAGAGATCATGGTGAATTCAGATAAGGTGAGAGCTATATTGGACATGCTGTCATAGAAGACGAACATGAAGATACAATGACTTACAGGGTGTGTTGCTGATCTTAATTACTTTAAGTTAATGTTGAGGGAGAGGTGCTTGTCCTACCTCAAAGTCCTCAGAAGTGTAATGCACTTAACATAGAGTGAAGAGTGCGAGGTGGCTTTATCTTGTGCATTTTTATGTGATATGTTAATGTCATTGCTATTTATCTTGTGCATTTTTATGTTTTATATATTATTTACTCATTAGTATATACAAAATTTATTATTTTATGTTTACGCAATTTTTTGATTTTGAGGCTTACGCCTCAAATCGCCTTGAGGCTTACGCCTCGCCTCACGAACGAAAAACGCCTCAATACCCGAATACGCAATTTTAAACCTTGAGTAGGATTTCTACTCTACTTACTAGTTGGAAAGTCAAGTTCTTGCCTTTTGCAGGTAGAATACAATTCTTGAGGTTCACTATTGCTAACACCCTTGCCTATTAGATCAAATGGGCTATCATACCTAAGTCATGCTGCAAAACTATTGACTACTTTGTTCAAGATTTTTGTATCATGGCTCCACCTCTGACAAGAAACTTCATCTTATTACGTGGAACAAAACCTGTTTACCCACTTGGTTGGGTATCCCTGACATCTAATCCCTTTACCATGGACACAGATGCACTTTTATTTTACGGATGTTTAACACCAATTTTTTGGTCGCTGATTGGCTTAGATTCAAATTTGTTTCACCTTGAGAACCCCCTCCCAATAAAGCTGCTAAATTCTGGAAGTTTATTTGTAACAATGCATCTCGTATTAGATAAAACATTAAGCCTCACGATGATGTTGTTAATTGCAAGTTATCTATGTTTTGGAACCCTTGGGTTAATGGCAAGGTTGTATCTGATTTCATGCAGCCGCCAGCCCAAGGTTTCGTCGTTGTGCAAGAGTTTATTTCTCTTAGCAACTGGAAGCTACTGGACTCTTTCGCTCCTCTAGCTATTCATAACATTTCTTCTATTTTAATCCAAGACAACCCTTCTACTACTATTGTTTGGAATGGAGTTGATAATCCTTGATTCAAAACTTTTAAAATGCAATTTTTTTCAAGTTCTCTAGCACAAGTTCATATGGCTTAAAAAGTTGGCCCTTAGATTTTCATCTTTTGCTTGGCTGGCGGCTCGTGATTGTTTAAAAACAGTTGATGTGTTAGCCAAAAGGAATATTCATATACATGCCACTTGCTCTTTTGCTTGTAGGGGGAGGAAAGTATCATGCATTTAATGTTTCAGTGTGATTACTCTTTTGCGGTTCAATCTTTTCTTCTGCCGTATTTGGATTGGTTTCTATTTAGGCCTTCTTTGCTGTATATGTTTTGAATTTTTTTATGATGTTCAACATTTTAACTCTTATGAGAAGAGCTTCTGTTTTTTTGTGATCTTCTGCTCGGTTTATGTTTTTTGGTGGGAAAGGAATGACTGACGCTTTGTTGGGATTCATAGTGCCCCTAACTCTATTTGTTGCAAGAGCATTAAGGCTATCTTGGCAAAGGTCTCTCACTGGAAAAATTTTGAAATGCTACACTCCTCCTTCCCTTTGTGCTTCAGCTCGTAATGATGGTCTATGTGGGCCATTTTTTGTCTCCCTTAGGACTGTGATGTGTGGAACCGACAATCTGCATTTCCCCCTAGACTGTCTCGTTGTACCGTCAGTTTTTGATTCTGCATTTGTCCTGGCACCTTGCTACACCCTGCTGACTGTTCTCGTGGTCTGGTCCGATGGTAACTGGGGGCGCTATTCCTTCTTGTGGCTTCTTTTGGGCACTTGAGTTTTTTTTCTTGCCATGACTTACACACACTTCCTACATTTGTTGGTTCTGGTCACTCCTGAGTCCGTTTGAGACAACCTGTTGCTATTTTGGTATTTTTTTTATTTCCTGTTTATATATTTTGTCACAGCTTTTTTTGTACTTGTAATTTGGTTATAGAGTTTTTTTTTTGTGCTCTTTGCAACCTCCTTTTTTAATATATGGGCTTTGTCCCAAATTTTCCCAAAAAACATTTTCCAAAAAAAAAAAAAAATATATTATATATATATACTAATTTTCTTGAAATATAAAAATACATAATTTTTTAAATTATTTTTTCTGCTATAATCTTATTTAGACCACCCTCATAATTTCTACATTAAAAATTCGAATCCCTCGCTCAAATTACAAATTGAATATGTTGTATGGTGGAGAGGATAAGTGTTAAGGATTACATTCAGAATGAGCTTGTTTTCGTTGAAATGTAGGTACCGATTATGGAGAAGGCCAGAGCCATAGATTGGCTACATGCCCAGCATCATCTACCTTGCTGCTACTTCTCTGGTCGAGGACAGAACAGAGAACGGGATCTTATTGACATATCGGGAAACGAACATGGAGGTTACCATGACAAGGATGAGAAATGCTTTGTGAGTGTTGCTGGTGTAGGCTCTGCTGTTTCCTTTCGGGGATCTGATCCTTTCGGCTTGGAAGATTGGAAGTGTATAAAAAGGTATTTTCTCGATTACTCATATTATGAAAACAATAACATAGCCTATTCTTTGGCATCACATTTAAGAATAATAACCGAAAGAATAAATCTGATTATTTAAAGGTTTCTCTCTAAAGACTGCCCACTTGTTCGTGCATATGGTGCTATACGGTTTGATGCAAAGAGGAATATTTCTACTGAGTGGAAGGAGTTCGGTTCATTTTATTTCATTATTCCACAGGTTTGTAATTCACTAAATTCTTTTTTGTTTCAGTACTTTACTAACTTCCATTCTTAGCTATCGCATCTGATTATAAATGAGGTTGTGATACTATACTAGTTTGTAGTTAAGGTCCTGCCTATTAAAGTGAATAACAGGTTGAGTTTGATGAGTTTGAAGATGGTTCAATGCTTGCTACTACTATTGCATGGGATGATTACCTTCTTTTGACATGGGAAAAAGCAGTAAATGGGCTTATAGCCACAATGAATCAGGTCTACACAAGTGCCTTGTTTATATTGTCTTGCTGGAAATTTTCTGATGATTTATACTCTATTTGATGCTAATGCAGTTATTAGGACGATTTGATAAATTAGAAAAGTCTATCCAGCGAACAGCTACTGTTGGCTGCAGTCATGTTCCCTGTAAAGCATCATGGAATGATTCTGTAACTAAAGCTTTGGAGATAATAAATAGAAGACATTCAGATCTTGTAAAGGTTAGCTATATCTTTCTTAATATGCATAAACTACCTTTCAACTTAACTATTTGATTAATAATTCTGATGAAAACGTAAAAGAACGAGTAAAAGCTCATTTAGGGCTTATATTTAAGCATTGCAATATTAATTTTTTCTGACATTTTCTCGAATCTCAGCATCACTGCTAGTTTTCTTAAACTGGATCCAGTGAAGTATGAATTCAGATTTATAATGCTTAGTATTGCAATGTTTACTATCTATTGAAATTTAATTTTTTTTAGGAAATACTATATTTTGTTTGTGCGTTAAATTTTCCCAGGTTGTATTGGCTCGTTGTAGTAGGTACGTTACTGACAGTGTCATTGATCCTCTGGTATTATTAGCTTCTCTGCAGGTACATTTTTTTTGTACAATAGTGTTTTTTCTGAAATATGTTATCTGATGTTTTTTTATGTCATGAGCAGATTGAAGGTGAAAATGCATACCAGTTCTACATCCAGCCTCCTAATGCTCCAGCATTTATTGGAAATACTGTATGTTGAGTGAATGCAGCATTTGCACTCATACTTGTTTGACCTTAGTATTTTATCTGGTTAAAAGATGATGCCATGCTATAAAGATTTGCACCATGAGGATGAAGAGAACATTCTTTTAGACCTTTACAGACATCAATCAAGAACTCTCTAATTTTATCATATTTTAATGAGATAACGCTCAACTTCACATGAAGTGTGCTCATAACTTAATATTCTTAATAATACTTGCCCTATATGTTCTCATTGATATCTTTCACTAAATTCATCGTGAAGTCAACATAATTCTCTTATAAATTACATCCTGGTACTCAAGATTTAAGGAAATGCATCAACTTGGTCCACAATTTTATCCCTAAATTTTAATCTCTTGTGCTTTTTGGTATGTGAGTTAGGACTTCCAGCTTAGCTCTTGCCTCCTGGTCTTCTGAGTGACACTTGTTTCCTTACATATCAAAATTAGCTGTTCAGTTCACTCGTGTGATCGAACTTGTGAGTATTAGTTGAATGTTGAATATTTTGGTTGCCAAAAATGCCATCTTTGCATATAACAGGGCAATTTATTTGCTTATTCACCTCGAAGACATTCAACCTGCAATATTTAAACACAAAAAAAATGATACGAACTGGATTACAATATAATGACCTAAATTTGTGCATGGTTGTTAAATATTGGCACTTATAAATTTGTGTATGGTGAATGATGACAGCCTTATCATGATGCGTTATATATATATATATATATATATATATATATATATATTTTTTTTTTCTTTCTATAATGACCTAAATAAATGCTTTCGTCTATACATCCTTATGAATAGCCAGAGAAATTGTTTCACCGAAAATTCCTCAACATATCAAGTGAAGCTTTGGCTGGGACCCGTGCTAGGGGTGTTACAAAAATTCAAGATTTCCAAAATGGACAAGATTTATTGTACAGGTACTTCTATTTGATGTGTTTGAAGAGAAACTATTTCGCATTAATTTTCTTTTTCTTGTATGCTCCTCTAGAACCAAATACAATGTGCTATATATTTAGCAACTTGTCTTACTAGTTAATATGTTGCTTTTTACCATTGTGAAAATAATATATAAAAATTTGGCAAGCATTAAAATTTTTTCTTCTTGCTAAGTAGGCCTAATCTTAACATACAATGGATGTGTATGTAAAATTGTTAGAAAAACATTCATGGTGGAATTTGTAGGAATAAGTCCAAATCTTTATGCATACTCGTACATGTTTTTCTGGGTATTCCACAGGTGCTTAACATGTTCCATCCAAAGAGCCCGGATCTGATGGATCGTAACAACTAAGACTTAACCAATAATGGTTGCGTTCTCTCCTAGAGGTATTAGTAAGGCCTTAGCTCAACTATGGTGGGATACCTGAGATGTTCACACTCAATAGTGATTCTAGTCCTTCGCCAAATCCCTTCAGGCCTTGGGGGATTCATCTCATCGACCAAAGTCATCCTCCTTAAGTAATTCGCCGCCACGCGCTGTCACGCGAGCCACTAAGCCGTCAATAACATTCTTCAATCCACTCGTAGGCTGCACCCCCCGGAAGATGTAAATATTTTTCCCATGCTCTGCCAATCTTGAGGTCACAATCACCACAGTCCATGTTGTGTCGTCCCTTCACATTTGAACTAGTTGAAAATGGCATCGAGGAGGTCACCAGTGCAACCTTAGGACTTGTCTCCATAGACTTGTCAAGCATGATCCATCTCGAGGTCTTGTCTTGTTCAACTCATTCACAAACACTTGGTAATGAGAATTGGACCAAAAATTGTACATTGAGCGAAGGAGAAGAATCATGCAATACATCCATCAGATTGTGACAAGTATCTTGAACAACTTGTACTAGCCATAATTTATTTTATACTCATTAACCTTTTTTTTTGGTTTAACCTTATTTATAACCATTGGATCCCTATAAATGATGAGTGAGAGACGGATTTTGAATCATACATCACCTGATTTAGTAGAGCATGTTTTTAGAATTTCCTTAGCCTTTATTTTTATTTCTTGAATCCTCTTGTTTCTTCTCTATAATTACTATAGGCTCTTTGTTTTGTTTATTGAGATTGCTTGTTAGCACGGGTGTTTTTCATCTACAAACAAACTTGAATCCAACATCCGTAAAGGTGTAGTGTGTGTGTGGATTGATTCTAGTGATCGAAAGGCAGGGACAACTCGACGAACGGTTGAACTTCGAGTTGTTAGTGAACATGGACCCAAGTAAACTACTTATCGTGATTATATGGAGATGGTGGAAAGGCTCACTCTAGGATGCCATGGTGGGGTTACTGTTAGACTAGTCCAGCCAGTTCAGGAGGGATCGACTTTGCTTCTATCGGGGGTAGAACGCCTGTTCCACACGAATAAAACCCGCCTCTCTATGTGGGGTCCAACATGCATTAATTAGGAAGGTTTTTTGGTAGTTTAGGAGAGAATATTCAAAGGAGGGGGTGTTTAGAGAACTCCTTTATGATTGTATGTTAGTAGGATGTTTTCTTAGGGTTAGGTTGTCTTAATTTTTGTTGAAATTTGGAGCCTTTTGTTAACCTCCATGTTATACCCAAAGAAAAAAAAAAGAGGACTCAAAATCATACTGGGTACCCATCGGATCCAGGAATCCCGCTGACGAAGTCGCTTCCTGCAAATCCCGTTAGGTCACTGTTCCTTCGGCGCCGTTCCGGGATTTGCTCGCCTCGACGCCGCTGCACTTGGTCTATATAAGGGAGATGAGAGCAAGCCTTTAGCGTTGCTTCCCCAATCTGCTCTCCCGTCAAAATTCCCTCTCTGCTGCTTCGACGCCTCTCACCATAGAGACCGAACCAAGCCCCTCCCTCCGATCAAAACCAAACCGAGCCCTTGCTCCTCCCGTCCCTGCCCTATTCGTAGGTTGTCAACCCAGAGAGAGAGAGAGAGAGAGAGAGAGAGAGAGAGAGAGAATAATCATAAGTAATTATTTATAGTTAATTATTATTTTTAATTATAATTAATTAATTATTATTAATTATAATTAATCATTATTATTTATAATTAATTAATTATTAATTATAATTAACTATTATTAATTATGGTTATTTATGATTAATAATTATTATAAAAAAGAGAAGTAATGCCTCTCTCTCATTCCCTCGATCCACGTGCCGACCCCACGCAGGTTTAATCTTTTGAACCTTAAAACTCCGAGAACCCGCTTTCGATGCTTGTAAGTTGCAACGCAACAAAACGACCACCTATACATGTTTTTCTTAGCGTGGTGGGAGGAATTTTGTCGCGGTGCTCTCGACGAATCGGGTAATCACCCAAATCCCTTCTTCGGAGTTCGTGGCACACCGGAAAACCGCCTATACACATTTTTCTTACCGTGGTGAGATGGGAACCCGGTGCGATGCGTACGACAAAGTGGAGATACCCATAAGTACCCGTTTGCGGGGAAACAACTGCTTTTCTTTAGGAACAGGTATCGAAGAACTATACACGCTTTTGTTAGCGTGGTGGGGGACGAAAATAAATACGGCCGCATTGTCCTCGTCCGAGGACACCTACCATACACTCCCAGTTTCCTGTAATTTTCCCCTAAACGCGAGAGGACGCAGGGGGGGGACACCGGGAGGCTGCCAAAATTTCAGGTAAATATGAAATTGTACTTGAGCTTGATTGGACACATTTGAACAACAGTGGACTTGTGAGCTCGGACTTGAACCAAATGGACCTAAATGATTTTGAAAAATATAAGACTTAAACTTGATTGAACTCAAAATACCACAAGGGACTTGACTTGAACAATTTGAGCAAGGGCTTGAGCTTGTTAGCTGAACACTTAGACTTGATTTGGACCAAATGATATTAACTTGAACTTGGACTTAAATTTAAAAGAACAAATACATAGAACTTTGAACTTGGGCTTGAGCTCAACAAGATTATTTGGGACTTGAACTTGCAAGCATTTGACTCAAATTATAGTGAACTCAATGTGACTACCTGGGATAAAGAACTTGAACCTGATGTAGGAAACATGAAGGCCTTGAACTTCTACTCAAACTCATTCTAGAACTTGAAATCAAAATTGAGCCTACTTTGAATATGCTTATGAGTTGAGTAGCATGGAACTTATTACATGCAAATTTAAGGACAATAAATTGAATAAGATAACTTGAGCATTGAATGAGCAATAATAATCCAAATGCCATCATTGGTTGATTAGAATGTGTAATCTAAATTACAAATATATACACAAGAATACTTTAATGAATATTGCAATTCATATGTGAGATATTTCACTCACAAGTGATAATGAAAGCTCAAGCGATTGATGATTTGGGACAACTTGCATTAACTGCTAAGACATGAGAAATGAAGTGGTGGACGATATCATCATACAGGTAGGTGATAACTCACTAGCAATGGAGAATAAAGGGTTGCTCGTAAGTGATGATAAAGAACATGCAATAAATACATCAGTATTCTTGTGAGGTCAAATTGCAAACGACAACGGTCCACATCAAAAGACACATATATTGCCTATATGCAATGATGAAAGACTCTTCTTGCATACAATCATTTGCTCGTAGATCAAAGCAGAAATGTTTACAAGCAATCATATGTGATTTATCATATGCACAATAGTGATGAATGCAACTAACCTGGAGACTGAATGAAAGGCATTTAGCAAATAAAGCAAACACTTTGCAACATTGCCTCGTGAATAACAAAGCTAAAGTTGATACAGTCAACACAACAGGCATGTAAGTAGATGTAGCAATCTTTTCTACGTCCACCTAGAAGCACTAACGAAGAGATATAAATGGTATAAGACAATACAACTTGTCGACGAATGTTTATAGAAGACATGTCTACAATCAAGTACATTAAGAATGGTGAAAAAGACATCATGTCTGTAGCACATTCGAGGTACCTACCAATTGTTGTGGTAAAGACACTATAACTTCTCCATGGTTAATAATTGTCCAACATCAGTCAAATGCACCAGCCCTCTATAAGCAATGACAGATGATACATAGTGAAGTACAAATATCCAAGGGGTTGTAGAATACTCGTTATACATACTACATGCTATTGCAAGCAGAAGCAAATGAGATAGGACAAGTGCAAAATATCTACAAGTCGTTATAGAAGAGCCGTTGTACACCCGATGTGTCATCTACAGGGTAAATACAGAAGAGAACTGTAGCAGATACGAGCTTTTACAGGATGTCATAGAAGACCCATTATATACCACATATTATCTACATGCATCTATAAATGTAAAGCAGAAGATTCGTTAGTGCACTACAATCTACCTGCATAAATCATGCAAATAGTGCACGACAGTCTACCTTTACAAAGCAACAAATAACTCAACCCACAAGCTGCTACGCAATGCCATCGAATCCGCAATATTCATGCGAGCGGATAGAAGACATTTATAAATATTTCAAAGAATGCCCTGCACATGCATCGTAGTTTGTATACACATAGGTACATAAGGGGTAAGTATAATCAAACACCATCATGGGCCCCGACGAGCCTGTTAATTGGTACACACGTGACGTCTAGGGATGCTGTGCGGATCAATAAATTTGAACCCGATCCTCCTAAGCAGGCAGATAGGAGTCGATAATGTTCAATAAATAATTACAAAATGCCCCCAAACACTCGCATGGGCCCCGACAAGCTTGTTATTAGTACATACGTGACGTCTAGGGATGCTTCGCGGGTTAATAAGTAAATTTAAGTTCGTACCCGATCCTCTTAAGCAGGTAAATAGTAGACATGATTCGAACCATCAAATAAATACACAGTTGTGGTGATCGATATATTTGTTTTAATACTTTCATATTAGGCCTTCAAGACCTATAATCATGAGAATTCACTTACAAATGCATAAAGCCTATGAAACCCGATCCTCTGTTGGCAGCTCGACAG